ACAAGTTCGGATTCATTCAAATTTTTTGAAATCGCTATTCGATCCAGCTGTTATCCTGATGAAGAACCCAGAAGGGGTTATGAAAACGTTTGATTTGTGAAAGAAAAAGAGTGATACGCATCGGTTATAGTTTCAGTAAGTCAGATTTATTGTATTATATACAACCCGATGTGCTGTGATAGTATATTATTATATAACTCTGACCTTTTCAAGGTCATAAAGAGAAGTTCTACCCCACACAAATGGTTAGGAAACTTATGTACTGTGTACATATACTACACCAGCTGATAGAAAACAACAAACTGATGTATGTCTTTTGCTTTAAACTGTTAATATTGTTGAAAAAAAAATAGTGTGCAATAAATAAAATATAATGTACATCTGTACTGTGTTATTTATGTCTTTAACGAATTTCCCAGATTATCCAGATTGGTCCTGGTCCTGTTTGAGCTGGATAAATAGGGTTACACTGTAGTTATTTTTCAGTTGGATACCCAGAAAATACCAAAATTAGTCAGGGATCACTTTTTCTTTTAATAAAATATAAAGTTATATATAAAATATAATTCTCTCTATTGAAAATGTAGAAATTCATTCAAATTTTATTTATTGTATTTGCTGTGTGTCATTTCAGTTCCAGTCAAAATGCCAAATTATTTTTGTTTCAGAAAATGTAGATATCTCCACATTCCAAAACAAAATAACTTTTACTTGTCTATTACTAATTTAATTGATTAAAAGCAACAGTGTAACTTTGTTATGTCTTGACTGATAAAATAGATATCTAGTAATAATGATGATAACGGGAATAACATAATAGCATAAATGGCAGAAATGATTTGTAATTTTAAAATTCTATTAAGAATGTTCATAAATCATAAATAAATTTGTTTAAAATAATTGTACATACATTACGAGTACTGTAATTTTATGCATATAATTCATAATGGCATATACTACACAGAAAATTGCTAGAATAAAAATAAAATATTTGCATTATCCACACCAGCATATACTCCATGCCTGTGGAGCAGCCATTAATCCATACATTAGTTTGTAATTGTGTTTTAAAATCAACATATAATCCACTATATTGCAAAATTCACAACCTCTTTTGAATTATCTTTTTAAAGACAGCTAACCTGTAAGTTATATGCACAAAAATACAATAGTCAATAATTAAAAAGTAAAAGGTAAATTAAAGTAAATGTAGATTATATAATATTTAAAGATACCATCATAGATAATTTTGGTTATGATCAATTGAATTACAACCATCTAGTGTATAATTATTGTCTATTTTTAAAAAATTTATTATTATTTAACTTTTAACTCCAATTGTAAAGTACAAAATTAAATAAAAATGCTATGTATTTCTTTAACTATTATGCTATTGAACTATGATTCTCTGATACTTAATACTTGATAAGTAAGTATTTTTAGCTACTGTAACAGTGAAAATATTTGTACATTTTAATAAAAATTAGCTATTAAATTGTAATGGAGTTTCATTATAGGATTTTAGTATCTCAAAGTTTAAAATTGGAACAATAATTTTTGAAACCAGAACAATCCCAGTTTCCTTTTCAGAAATGTATATTTCAAGTGTTAAAATACAATAGTCATTTTTAGGAAAACAGAGTTAAATATAAAATTTTCTTTTTTTGTAATTTCTTGTTATGAACTTTTATTATTTGTTAAAATAATAGTTGCAAATTTTTAAAGGAATGTGATATTTGTTTATTGTATTTAGATTAATATTTTTTATTATATATTTGAAAAACTCCATTAAATTTGAATATTTATCTTTTTCATATTTGTATTTGTTTGACAAGTAATAAAATCATTTNACATCATTTAATCCATACTTAACACCAACACCAATGATGCCTGGCATGGTCCCTGCTGATGCTATGGCTGCACCTCTCAGTGTTGTCCCTACACCTTTAGTTGCATCTCAAAAAGTATCTCGCACGGATCGATTAGAGGTAAGATTCAAAATCTAATATTATGAAGCATTTAATTACAATTTCTTTTTATATCTGTTACTAGTCAACAGCAATTATAAAAATTCATTTATATTTTGGTATAAAACTATAGTATTTTTAAGATATTTTGTTTATATAAGCATTTGAATTTTGCATGTATCTATATATGGTAATTATTATATGATAATTAAATATTATTTATAAGAATATACTTCAATATGTATAATACTAATTTTACTTTTCTAGTTTCAGTAAGCTTGTATTACATTATTTTTATCATTTACATATCTATCTACTCTGTCTTAAGTTTATGAATTATTGAATAATCTGAATTTACTTTTCATATTGTTTTTAGAAGAGCTAACTACAACCTCATATTTACTTAAACATTGAAATTGCATTACCGTGAATGAAAAGGTACAGGGTTATGAAATTCTCGGGAAAGACAGAGAGTTTGAGATATACAAAATGACCAAAAACTAATCCCAAGAAATGCTAAGCAAGACCATTTATTTAATAATGTCTGTGCAAAAAAAAAAATTCACTGTTGTCTTTCATAGCATGAACAAGATTTGTCAATCATTTGCTTAAGATGTATAATACATTATAGCATCTATTTATGCATGCAAAATATTCAAGTCAGAGACAAGAAGCTTTCAGTATAGTTGATGAAATTAACTGATAAAATTCCATATATGTTCAGTTGCCAATAAGTTCAAAAGAGACTACAGGCAATGGCAAGATGTCTAAATCATACAGGCTGCTTGTGGAAACACAAGGCTTATGTAGATATGCATCATTTTGCTAGAAAACAACTCCAGGAACATCTTCAAAGAAATCATACTATAGAATCAGAATCAAATTGATATATTGCCATTAGTACCAAAATGGAAAACTGTATGGCTCCTGTAAATTTTTTGAAAGGAAATTTTTCTTTTGTGTTGCAGATCCATGAGAAAATATTAACATTAATAATAATAATCAATAAAAATTTTTTTTGTTTTGTTTTTTGTTTTGTTTTTTTTTAAGATTTTCAATTAGAAACTCTTCTATAAATCTATAGTATATAGTCAACCTTTTGTTAATTGGGCTGCAATTTTCAAATTGCAGACCTATACATTCCTACTGGCATCCATCTATATGACTGTCTTTTGTTAATCTTGAGAATGGAGTTAGATAGATGAAAACCAAGATCAGATATGGAAAGCAAGTTCATATATAATTAGTTTGGAGCCACGGGCTTTAACTATATATGAACTTGCAATATGGACTGGAAGTCATGTGATTTCAATTCAAAATTTTTTTGAGAATGGAGTTAGATATATGACTGGCATGACTTGATTGTTATTAGGAGAAGTATGATATATAGGGACAAGACACTACTAAAATCAAGACTAGTTATAGGAAGCTTGGATCGGATGCCCTTTTTAATCATATTTCAATTTAAATTAAAATATGATTAAAAATTTCAGCCCTGCATTGTAATGTTCAGTAACAATTTTTTAACTTAACACATGTTAATGGCTATGTTATGTACTGTACCATTAACATAAAATATAGCCAAACAACCAGGTTTTATTTAGCTACATATAAATACATCTTAGCTGTATGTAAAAAGTATTAGATTAAGGTATGCTACTGTAATGAAATATACAAAATAATATATTCATTACAGAGGTTTCTATGTTAAATTTTACATATTTTTTATTACCAGCTTAAAAATTTCTAGTTGTGCATCCCAAATATTGCAGATCCCACACTGTGAGGTCTGTGGGGAGGGCAGATTGCCATCACCATGGCAATCAGGGCAGTTGTTACAGCCCTGATTGCCATGGTGTCAAATTTCCTGAAACGTGTCCAAGGGATGTCTATCAATGATGCCAATTTTAATCTTTATGTTGAATATTGTACTACTAAGGCATTCCTTGAAGATATCAATGTAGTGTTGATGGTTTAGAGAAATATTTTATGCAGTGCCACAGCATAAAAGATAGGTTTTCAAAGATTGTCTAGCTTAGAAGCCAGTCTTGTGCAAATGTTACCTAATTGTTTATATGGACAGATTTAAACTATGCTTTCTTACAATAGTCTTATAATAATAAAGGAATTATGCTTCCATGCTCCTGATATGTTGATTCATGCACTCTGAAATTTGTCTTTTACATAGCATTAGCATTGTCCTGACTGTTCTTGAATCCACTGCAACAAGCAAAGATAGACAGTGATAATATGACTTTTCTCAATTTGATAATTCTGTCCTGCTTAATGATGGTCAAATGGTGGAATACTTCATGTTTTTGTACTGTAGGCATATTTCAAGCATCTGAAGCAGCTTTCTGCAGTTAGTTAACTCTCACAAGGCATTGGTGTAGTTGCTTTTATGCCTTCAGGTGCTGCCTATGTCTTCAATCACTACAGAATTCTGATCATTTGTATATCTGAGAAAATATCTGAATTTCATAATTTTGTGCCTTTCTTTCATGTTAATCTTGTTACTCCTATACAAATTGCAATTATACAAATACTCACTTCTAAATGTTGTAACATTTCTTTATTCTAACATTTTCAATCATCTTAAACAATCAAAAATGTTAGAATAAAGAAATATTACTGCATTAAATGGATTTTACAGTGAGTATTTTTCTTGAGCTTTCACGATGTTGCAATTTCATAATGTTATGAATTGAGAAGTGTTAATAAAATCATACATTTTCAGCTACAGAGAAATGCATTGCTTAATAGTAAAAACATTCCAAAAAACCTTATTAATTGCATAACCACTGTCATTCAATTTGTTTCTCCTGAGGAAGGTCAGTAAAATATGGCCAAGAATGTTAGATATTGAAGTATTTAATGTAATTATTAAGATTGTTTTGAAGTGTTTTTAATCATATATTTATTTTATATTTGCATAACTCGTAATTTATTGAATATATAAATTTAATAAAAAATATATAAATTTATTCTTTGAAATTATTTAAAACTGTTTAAAATTTGTTGAAAATTTTTTAGGCTAGCACAAATCCATATTTAGCAAATTTACCAGCAATGGCAACAACATCATTTAATCCATACTTAACACCAACACCAATGATGCCTGGCATGGTCCCTGCTGATGCTATGGCTGCACCTCTCAGTGTTGTCCCTACACCTTTAGTTGCATCTCAAAAAGTATCTCGCACGGATCGATTAGAGGTAAGATTCAAAATCTAATATTATGAAGCATTTAATTACAATTTCTTTTTATATCTGTTACTAGTCAACAGCAATTATAAAAATTCATTTATATTTTGGTATAAAACTATAGTATTTTTAAGATATTTTGTTTATATAAGCATTTGAATTTTGCATGTATCTATATATGGTAATTATTATATGATAATTAAATATTATTTATAAGAATATACTTCAATATGTATAATACTAATTTTACTTTTCTAGTTTCAGTAAGCTTGTATTATTTATGCAACAAATCTAGAAAATTGTAGTTGTAATATTAGAAATGTTTCAGATATAAACTTTCTCACAATTTCAACCATTTCCACAACGTTATAAATTAATAAAATTGTACAAATATGAACATTGTTTAACCTGATCTTTAAGATTAGTGCCAAACACTTGAAGGATTATATCAGGATTTATTAATGCTACTGTTAATAATTACATGTTAAGTAATTTGGCATAGAGGTAAGTGTTAGGTGCCAAATCTTAATAAATTTAATAATTATAACTAAATTAATATTTAATAATTAATTTGGAAGGTTATGGAAGAAAAGAATTGGTCCAAAGTAGTACTCAAATTCACAATTCCCACATACTTTGCACATGCATTGCCAATTATGTTATCATTAGTTCTGGAAGCAAAGATCAGTCAGATCTGGGTAGCATAACTGGCAATGTATCCTCACAGTGTGTGGGAGTTGTTGGTTCAAGTCCTGAGTCCTGCTTTGGGCCAATTCTTTTCTTCCATAACTTTCCAAATTAATTATTAAATATTAATTTAGTTATAATTATTAAGTTTATCAAGAGATGGCACCTAATGCTACCCACTAGACCAAATTACTTAATATTTAATTATTACTAGTAGCATTAATATAGTCCAATATAATCCAGCAATCATTTGAAGAAAATTTTTCCTCCTTGATGATAGCGTAAGAGTTTATTCTGAAGTTAAAACTAAATTTCACTGCAACATAATATTAGTTCACAAGAAATTTTTGAATACTTATAATAATTTTATTTCATTTCAACATTTAAAATGTTGAAAAATACAATTAATCATGAAAATAGCTTTAGTGTAATTCAACAAATTATCAATTAGCATCTAACATTTTATTATATTAAAATGGAAGAACTTAAGGAACATTCATCCAATATCATTGCACAAATATAATATATATTTAAAGTTATTGAAGAAGTATAAAGATTATTCTAAAGAATCTAACAATAAATTAATGTTTTTTTCAATTGCATCAACCTGTTAAAAATTCTCTTTTGATTTAATATGAAAATTTATCTCTATTAACTTATCCAAAAGGATTTTTTAATGAAAATTTAGTGGTCTTAATTATTGAATTCCAAAGTAAAATATTTAATATATATATATATAGCTACTTTGGAATTGTTATATATGTTATGACATAACCTGTGACATTTTTTCCACAGGTTGTGCTGTAATTTGGCATCCAAGTGAGTGCACTTGTGGCAGTTTTTTATATAAAAATACAGATAGTTTGGAATTGTTTCATGAAAAAAAGTAAAAAAAATGATAAATTTGAGTTGTGACACTCTTCTTCCAAACAAACAATGTGTATAGTGAAATCCTCCAGATGACCACCCATTTAGATCACTAGATTTTCTTAGAACAAAATTTTTATTCCATAGAACTCATTTTGTCTAATCCTCCTTGAGCCAATAACCTCTTTACCCAATCAATGACTATTGTACTTATAATTCCTTTGTGTTAAATACCTTCTTTGAGGTGATTAGTTTTATTATTATAGATAGGATAATAAAATTGAAACCATTGGTATATACAGTACAACGTACAATGTTAAACATGTTTTCACTGTTGCATTAGGTCTAAAAATTTGTCTCAATTTTGTTTTTAAATCAAATTCAGTGTCTATTTTTTTACATTCAGTCCTGTTATGGTGAATATAACTAATTTCCTGTTAATATTTTTAACATCAAGTTAGCCTATTTGTATATTCTTATATTCTATCCATTCTTATTATACTAAATAATACCATAGGCCAATAAATTTCATCTTTCCATTAATAGAGATAAGCAAAATGGAAGTTGAGGACAGCAAATTTAGATAGAATTTTGGTGAGTTTTGGAATTTGTTTGTCCAAATATAAAAATGTTTGAAGGCATCATTTTAGGCATCAAAACTTAAAACAGAGAAAACAAATGTCTATTTCAGATTAGTTTAAATCAAACATTTGCAACTGTATGCAGTACATTTTAATGTATAGTGTACATGATTACATGTGATGTATTAATAAATATTCTTGTAGTATATCATTAATCAATCAAGCATAGCATTTATTAAATAGTTTTGTTGTATTGCCTATACAGTACCCTGCATAGTGTTATACACTAGAATCCTATATATGCTGTTAGTACTATGTATTACTTTTGGACATAGTACTTCATATCTCCATATATTTTCGTTACTCCTTTGACAAGACCATACCTTGAGATGCTTAATTTTCCTGTTTCTTAATAGTTAGCTTAAAAGAGGTTTACTGTATAATTGAATTGGATCTTTCAAATGCATTCAGTTTTGACATATTTTTAATTTGAAATTAAATTAATAACTAACAAATATTAACAAAAAATAACTAAAAAATAATAAATAAATACTAAATTTTTATTCAATAATCCTTTAGTAAAAATAAGTAAGGTCTGAGTTTCTATATTATATCATCATATAATTTTTTGAACAGATTGAAGTGATATTTTAAGTATGCTTAAAACTTTGAACTTAATAAATAGTATGATAAAAAATAAACAGTAATTAATGATTTTATAAAATCTGTATATATATAAGAACCTTGATTAACTAAGATAATATGGATCAATACTACTTTAGAAAACTCAAACTTGGATAAAACAGATGGTCACAACAATTTCAGATTAAAAATTAAAAATATAAAAGATTTATATGGTATCTTTTTAGCTTCTTTTTATATCTTAGTGAATTTAATCATATATGAGAAAAACACTTTTTACAAGATTTATTGTAAGCTAATATGTACAATTTTAAGAATAAAAATGTGTATAATTATAGTTACATTTAATATAAATGGTTTGTCTCGCATTGAAGTCAAATTATAAAAGGTGCAAATCATTTTGTAATGCACATTATTTTTAAAAATTTTTTTAAAAATGTCTTAGAATTTTTTATTTTACAATAGTTTCTCTCTTTGCTACAATGTTCAGCAGTTATCTCAGTATCAATTTTCATGGACAATCTGTCTTGGATACTTGGGCTTTATCCCTTACCACAGCTGCCCTCATTTTGAGTCTTGTTTTAATTTGCATAGGCAATGAAGAAAAGAACCTTTTAGTGCTCTTAGGATGAAGTTTTTAAAAATGTTGCTTACTCATACAGTTGAGGGTTAAAAATACTATAGTATTTATGGTCTTAGTGCATTCACAGAAAAGTTATAAATTATAATATAAGTAGTGTATTCACTTACTGATTTACTTTAGATAATGCAGAACCTTGGATAATAGTTCTACTGTATTACTAAATAGAAAATTTCTATAAAGATAGTCTTCCTTTTTAGTCCTTAAGTATAATGAACTGCAATTAGCATAAAAAAATTCTCTACATTTTATGAGCTTATCATAACCAATTATATATTTTATATTACAGTTATATAGATGTTATTTTGTATGTGAATTTTTAGTCTCAATAATCTTTCAATTATCCAATCAATATTTGTCATTGGATATTTATTCAAAAAATAGCCCTATAAGAAAAAACAAGTTTCACTACATACACAAAAATTAGCAGTCATTCAAATGCTGTTTAATATTCTTTACAAGAAGATAACTGATAGAAGCTACTATGTAGAATAATCTGCTTGATGGTTTTATTGTGCTTAATTTATGAATTTAAAAGTGTTGATTTTACAGTCTTAAATTATATGCATTTAATAACATCATTTTACTTCATGTAATTATATTTATTTTTGAAAATATAATTTGAGCTATTTACAAAGATGTATAAATGCATGTAGAAGCATATTTCAAAATAAATTTTCAATTAATTAAATAGATAGATTTTGTTAGATATATCAATTTTAAATATTTGTTGAATTTTTTTTTTATAAATTTTTAAATTTAAATGGATTATTGGAACATAAATTTTTTTTGGAAACTAGCCACATATTTTTTTCTTTTAAAGATAATATTTGTGCACCTGTAAAAGAAAAGTAAATTAAATTAGTATAATAATAAAAATATAAAATAGCAGGGCAATATTTAATTAAAGACACTGTACTGTTAATGATATAAAGCAATTTTGGCCAAAGTTTAGCTCTCAAACAACAACTGTGCAGCTCATGCAACACAATAGCCCATTTAGGGATTTTGAATAAAAAGTTTACATAGCATTGCTATAACCTTTCAAAAATAAGAAAAATATGTTAGAAATACTAAATTACTAAATCAGTATTCATGCAGTAAATAAACTTAATTTGATTGATAATAAACTAAATGTAGTATTATCATGGCTCCATGAATATCTCAGTATTATGTTGCATTGTCATGTTGTTGACTCTTACCATGTTGACTACTTAGGTGCAACTCTTGAAGTATGTCTGGTTGTCTATCCATGATATAAAGTTTTTATTTACCCTATACATTATAAGTGTAAATAAAAGTACAAAAATTTGAATATAAATATCATAAATTTTAAATAAAGTCATTGAATTATACAAATACACTTTTCATAAGTTTCTAGCACTCACTTAATACATTGAAAAAACATTTTTGGTCCAATTTACAGGCCTGATTCAGGTTAGAAGCTGTCCAAATATGAAGGAGTTAAGTTTAATTGTAAAGTGGAATAATTCGAAGATTCCATGACATTATTTAAAATTCTTCATTGTAATTAACATTTATAGATTTAAATAAAAAATAGAATTATTTTTTTGATAATACAGGTAACCCCCGTA